GCCTGCATAAGATAACGAAAAAACCCCACAGATTTTAAGAAACGATTTATTTTTTAAATTGAAATTTTTATAAATTTTGGGACAATATGGTCTGATAAAGAGTTAATTTATATACATTCTTAAGCCAGAATAATTTGACATTTAATTATGATTTCCCTACGACTTTAAAACATAAAACAAAGGGTGCACTGTCTTTATTCCATAGCTGTATATTGAATGATGAATTAACCAAAGAAGATTCCTGGACCACATTAGTCATCCTCCTCTGTCCAGGATTTGATTTTCTTCCTGCTTTCAGGCATAAATAAACAAATTCACAGAAACTAAAACATTTATATGCACAAAAAACACTCACCAGAGCTGGTGCAACAAACACTTCAAAATGTACAGCTAAATTGAGGGTCTTCATTTCATCTAGTGGATGATGTGGATTCAGCTATTTTCAAGTGCAAAGTAAGTATTTTCTGTTTTGTCACAATGAATGGCCAGCAAATAGTCTCTTCTAATAGGAGACAAAACCACGTTCTCCTATTCTGAGCGTGTTTAAAACAGCAGGATGGGTAACAGAAAGAGGATGCGAGCGACACAGAGGGAGAAAACTTAGACCCCTCCTGGAAGAGCTTTCATGTGTGATTCCTTCCTGCTGCTGTGAATTAAACACTAAATAATTATTTCTGTCCGCAGACGGAACGCCTCCTGTTTCCTCTCTGAGGTTTCCATCTGATTTTAAAGATAAATAAGAAGTTAGATTTCAATGCGTTCCGTCTTCTGACATTTGAAGAATCGCTGCGTTCCCTGTTTAACTGCGCCTCCTAATTTACTTTAAATCATCATTTAAAAGCTGAGATTCCCAAACTCAAACCCCACATGGTTCCAGGCATCATAGATGTCATTCTAACCTGACTGAGATTAAACTTTAATTACAGACTCTTGATAAATCGGAGTAAGCCGAGCATTTCATTAAACTCCAATTTGTTTTTTTTGTTATCTAGCATCATTCTGTTTATTTACCTTATTGATCACATTTTAAAAAGCAATCACAAAGACATTTGTAATAAAAATTAATAAAATAAAACATCTATTGAAATAACTGTAATTAGATTATTGCTATAGAGAAGAGTAACAGCCTTATGTTTATCAGCTCATACTATTTAAAGTTGATTTGTCTACCTTGTCTTTCTCTTTTGGCTTCTCTTTCCACTAATTCAGGGAAAATTTCAGAAACGGGTTACAGGTTCTCCTTAATATATAAAGACTTTCCAAAAAAGTAAAAAAAAAAAAAAAACAATCTACCGGACCCTTTCTTTGTGTCAGAAATGGAGTTGAGTTTGAGGCTTCATAGAGTGAACCAAAAACAAAGCCTAGTTTTGGCTTCGAAAAAATGTCAATTGAAACGAACAAACGGGTCCACCCCTTTGGAATGGCGGTCATTTGGGTTCTTTGTTGGGAAGCACGATATTGAGATTTTGGCCGATATCTGATATGCCGATATTTTAAAACTCATGTAGCCGATAACCGATATCGATACTGATGTTAAAGCTGGACAAAAATAAGTAGTCATTGAAAATAGCAGTTTTCTTATCCATTTCTGACACTTTGAAAAATAATATACTCAAATATATTTTCATATGCTGATATCAAATTGATTTTTAAAAACGCGGTATCGATCTATTTTACTTTCAAAATCTCGTGAAATTTCATCGTTCTGTTACAAACTCTCGTGATATTTTGCAAATTCTTGTGAGATTTTGTTAGTAAAATAGATCGATACCGCGTCAATATATCAACATATAAAAATTTGTCAAAATTTCGTGAATTTTCGGGGGATTTCGTAGCATAACGAGGACATATAGCAATATTTCATTAGTAAAATAGATTGATATGGTGTTTTTAAATGGCAAAATATCAGCATATGAAGATATTGTGATATTTTAATGTATCAATATTTTTTCCCTCGTCTTTAGAAGATTTTAAGTCTGTAAAAAAGAAGTTTTTGAGGAAGAAGAAGAAGTAGTTTTTTTTTTTTTTTTAGACTTCAGAAACTCAGAAGCTGATCAAATATCGGGTTAAATATCGGTGGGGTGGCCGATGTCCGAAATTCAGTTTTAAGGCCGATACAGGCCGATACCGATAGGGGGCCGATTATATCGTGCATCCCTAGTTCTTTGTTAGCTTGTATTGCCCAATACCTGTCTATGTCTCTGAAAGGAGGGTCGTTAAAGGGAATCGTTGGCCTGGCTGAATAGGCGAGGTCTTCTGTTCCCCTGTAAAGGGGTTGGGGCTGCGATGATAGCGGGAAGGAATCGACTCAATTGCTGCATGGTAGGTTTTTGAAAGCTGAATGCTGAGTCCACCCCCTCTGTTTAAGGTTGGGTTTTCTTTCTTAACATAAATGGTTCCTTCACGCCCCTCTCAAAACACCAATCTTCTTAGTGAAAATGTAAACATTCTGGTCCTCAAAAGAAAGTCCTTTATCCATAAGGTGTAGATGTACCGTCGAGTCTTGAGGTTGCTCTTCTGTTTTGGGTCATGCGTCTGTGGAGAGGTTGTTTGGTTTCTCCAATATTAAGATCACAGCATTCCTCGCTGCATTGAACTGCAGACACCACTCCGCTCATATTTAGTCTACGGGGGTTTGTCTTTAGGATGCAGTAGTCTCTGTTTAAGGGGTCTTGTTGGGTTTGAAATTTCCTGGGATATGGAAGTAAATCTGTGTCGCTGGGATTTGAATTAAAAATGCTACTGAAATTTAAATGTTGTATGTTTGTACTTACTTTTTCAGTGTTAAAATATATTCAGAACACATTTTTGACCTAAAAAAAATTTATTGTCATTATTTCTACACAGATGAAATTTCATTTGTTATTTTCTCTTCAAGCTAAAAAATTCACATTCCTATTTCAAAGTGATTACATTTTCAATACTTATTTTTAAGTTAAATTTTTTTGGGGTTAAAATAATCTGCATATAAAAAAATTCAACCTTTCAAAATTCAAACTCAATATTTTCTTTCTGAGATTCAACTGGCGTTGAATTCGGCGACTAAATTCAGTGTAAAAAGGGAGATTATTGCAGATTATTTTAACCACTGTTAGGTTTATTCTTTTATAAATCATTTGCATTATTATTTTGTTAGTCAGATTAGAGAGAGTAGAAGGCCTTCCTTCACATTGTGGATGTCACGGTGTGTACGGAGGTCATCTAATCAAGACAGCCTTTGTGTCTTTAAGAATACAAAGGATATGGGCACATCTTGGAGCCGGTCTGATAGGAGAGCTACTGTATCTGTAACCCTGAAGCGTAGAAGCAAGCTGCATGAAGTTCAAGACATGGATGGCGTGTCAGTTTCTGATACGGACAGCTAAGCATCCACATGATGCAACACATAGACTCTTGAGCTATAAGAAGCAGGTGATGACGATGTTCGGGGCTCAAACTTTGCCGGACGCTCGCGGACGTGATTTTTGAGCCCACAGCTGTGCATAGCTCTAAGCATTTTTCTCTGTCTTGTAACGACCTGATCTGGAATAAACTCTGTTACTTTTTTACTCCTGTTTTATAGTCTTTTTTTATATGTTTTACCCAGTTTGAGTTAAGAGTAGTAAATAACTTGCTCCCAGGAAAAGAACCAGTGAGAAGGCCCCCGGGGCGCTACAGCCTTTTCTTTCAAGGGGACAAATCCTCCTCATTTTAACACCCCAAAAAATTTAACTGAAAAATAAGTATTGAATGTAATCACTGAAATAGTAATGTGCATTTTTAGCTTGAAGCTTGAATTTCATCTGTGTAGAAATAATGATAATGAATTTTTTTTTAGGTCAAAAATGTGTTCTGAATATATTTCAACACTGAAACAGTAAGTACAAACATACAACATTTAAATTTCAGTGGCATTTTAAATTTAAATCCCAGCGACACAGATTTATTTCCATACTGGGATTTTGTGTTTGTTATTTTTTTATCTAAGCCAAAACAAGGCTCGGGCTACTGTATAAAGCCACTGACATTTTGAATTGAAAAAGCTTCCTGGACGGGAAGCGAAATGTCTTCAAACTTGGAAACAAAGTCCATTGGATTGTTTTTTTTTAACCTTTTTGGAATAACCTGGATAACTGTAAATCTTCACCACCAATATATACAGACATTTTTCCAAAAATGACAAAGTTCAGTTTGGAAATCACCGAATAGTTCCTGGATTGTTGAAACAAGTTGAAGTCAAAGGAAATTTTGCTCTTATCTTATTGTTGTCATATATTTCTTAATATGATAAGGATTTTGATCTATCCTCTAAACGATAAAATTGGGAAAACATTTTTTTTCCCCATTTAAGCATAAACAAATTTGATAACATGATTTAAATGTCAAACTTTAGCAATATAATACATGCTTAGTGACCTAAGTCATAATCTGGTGTCCTGAGGAAGCTGATTTTCTTCAATTTTATTCAATATTTGGTGCAGGTACCTAAGACAGAAGAAATGTATGTTTGTTTTTTTATTTAATCGTCACTTTTAATGTTATCACATTAGTACCACAAAATATTCTGATAAGATTTTAAGTCCAAATTCCCGAGCCCTAATATATACCACCAGCTATACTGCTGCTTCTCTGTTCCAGTTAAATATCCATCTACTGCATTCTGTGCTGCATCACTATCACTTGATTAAACAAATGCCAAAAGCTCAACCTCCTCCCCTCCCCCTCATAAAGCGCACAAACAAACAGTTTTCCTGCTAAAAGACCCAGTGATGACCTCTTTCATCCTTAGAATGGTAACAACAATCCAATGGATTCAATCCTGGAATTTTAAATTGTTTGTGATTCCTGTGAATTTTAAATAGAAAACAAGCCCACCGAGTCACATGATGTCAAAATGCCTGACTCCCCCCAAACACCACCACCACATAATACCTTTAAAAACATTCTTGGCAAAAAAAAAAGGAAAGGGTTCTAGTACCTGTAGTCAATATAAACACAGCTGTAATCTCTGTGTCACATACCTCAACAGGGGGCAGTGGTTCAATAAACGTTCCTCCCACCACTGGACTCGAACCGGCAGCCCTCCAGTCTCCTCCCCAGTACAAGAAGGGAGGGGAGGAGGAGGCGGCAGGTGAGTGGGGCAGGGTAAAGGACAGGGAGGGGGAGAGAGGCAGCGAGCGGGGCATGGGCGGTGTGGCCGAACCTTTCTTGAAGCCCTTTTTCTGTGGCTGCACCGGTGGGCAAAAGGTGTTGGAGGGGGAGACAGCCAGGGAGAGCGGGAAGGGGTGAGGTGGGGTGCCGCTTGCCCGTCTGCCATAGGTCTGAGGTGGGCCGAGGGAGGGAGGAGGGAGGAGGGACAGCGAGAGGGATGGAGGCAGCGAGCGAGGCCGAGGACAGGGAGGGTTACTCACGGATTGTCGGAAGGGTTGAAGGGGGGCAGTGGGAGGGACCTCCATGCTGGGTTGCTTCCCAGTGGCTATGCTCTTCCTCCTGGCACGGTGATCTGCAAGAAGGAGCAGAGACCAACGGCTGAGACCACATCCGAGGTAAAATAAGGACAGGTTGCAAAATATTCACTGCAAAGTCGAAGGATGCGGGAAGGAGAAACATAGGCGGTGTGAAAATAAATAGCTACAGGAGAGCATGTCCGCCTGAAAATGAGTGTTAAGCAGAGTGCAACGGCGAGGCAGACAGAAATAAAACCATTAAAGGTCAAACCGCAGGGCGAAGCAGAAACTTACATACACCTACATCTGTCTCACACCGACAGAGTAGGTGTTGGACTTTCCGGGCGAAAGATTTTCTGTCTGAATGGCTGATAAGGCAAATGTTAACATTCTGTACTTCGCGAAGAGGAAATGAAAGATGCAAGGATAAAGAAGATCATCAAACACACAAAGCACTTATTGACTTCCCCTCATGTAGCCCGAGCATCATGCACTGCACTACCCTGCAGCTGAGAGATGAAAGTCTGAAACTGTGACCCAACAGAAAGCGATGATCTTCATCCAAAATATGAGTGAATTTTAATCGACTGTGTTTATTTGTAACTATTCGTGGTTCAGTACTTTCTCACAAAACCTGCATCTATCATTAGTCCAAAGTAAAGATTAGTACTGAATAAGTATCCCAAAGGAAAACTTCTGAAAGTGTAACAGAGTCATAAATAGCCTTCTGGTCATGGGATTAATAAGTAACCTTCCCGTTAATGAACAAGACAAGGTGGAAGGATAAGAACAACCTTTCCATGATTCCTTCTTTGATTTTTCAGTTTCAAAATGAGATTAGAAAGATTATGACTGTGTTGTTTCAATGTTTTTCCATTTTGTAAAACATAAATGCAAAAATGTTATATTGAAACACTTAAATATCTGCTTCTATCTCTCTTGCTCTCTCTCTCTCTCTCTCTCTCTCTATATATATATATATATATATATGTCGATAAATATATTGATATATTTACATCTATCTATCTATATCTATTTATATATACACTCGCAGGCCACTTTATTAGGTACCCCATG